AACAAAATCCCGAACTTATGATGTTCCCTTCATACCAGACCATTTGCTAGCGCCCATAATTCAAACCTTTCTCAATTTTTTGCTCATTCAATTTGCGCCACTATCGCAACCGAACGTACTGCTTATCAATAAGCTGTTTATATTACCGTAGTGCTTTCCTTGTTGGTGTGGTGCAAATTCAAATTCGAACGCGGATCATTTCAAACTTCAGAGCAATAAATGATTTCACCTATCTATCTCCCGTGATGAACTGAACAACATGCGGAAAGATCGTAGACCAACTTTATAATACTTTAATCTTGAATTCAAATAGGCTGTAACAATAGCTTCAGCTGGTAACAAGTAACAATGATAGTGAGCAACTAAACAATCCTAGTATCTAATGCATATAACGAGATTTGAGACAGTGACAAATTGACAACCTAATGGAAAACGCCGAGCAAGTCTTGCTCCCGGAAAATTGAATACTCCTTCTCTTCCACTATTACCTGAAAAATGCTATGAATAGCTGAGTTCTTAGGGTGCGTTTATACTTTGCGCAAGCGTCCACCAGCAACTACCAGCGTCCGCCAGCATCCACCAGCGACTGGGAATGTGTGGATATCGATTGGGAATTTATGGATATCGATCTAGCGAATGCCAGCACACAGCAGCGTTTTCGCGGGCACTATTGAACTAGAGCAAAACTGCTCGTAAAAACGCTGCTGTACGCTGGCGTCCCTTACTTCCCAGCCCCTCGAAACCTGGTGCATGCTGATGCAAATGGACGTAGCTTTAGGAATAGGCTTTCATTCAGAAACAGTATTACCTTTGTGCCACCATACTCAGGTAGAAGCACATGGTCTCCCGACTTTACACACATAGGGATGAGATCACCTTTCTCATTACGCGCTCCCGGTCCGACTGCGATGACGGTCGCCTCGAGCACCTGCAAAGGCTCCGTGCGTACATACAATGGGCATACACAAAGCTGGAATAGAAACGAACTGTAGGTCAAAAACATACCTTGCCCTGCGCTTTCTCGGGCAACATTATTCCGCCCTTCGTTTTCGTCTCAGCGGCGACACGCTCAACTAGCACTCGATCATGGAGAGGTTTGAACGATTTCAGGAGATCGCCAGCCTACAATTGGTGATCATGAAGTCAGACATGAAATGTGTGTTGCGTAAACCCCTTGGATACAATATCAGAAGGATCTATGTTGTGAACGGTGTACGAACCAAAAGGGCATTAATGATATTGCTTTCGATGCTGCACTTTGAGGACATGAATGAGCCACGTGATCAATAATTGTCACAACGGTCTCTGATGAACAGCTTAAGAATAATAAGTGCAACAATCACCACAAGCACTTTATTTCACGATGTACATAATGAAGATGACACCCTACGCCAAACCAATTGGCTTATTGAATGCGATGGACCTATACAATGACTTGCGGTGGCCAGCCGATGTACAAGTCAGTGTTCTTATCCTCCCAGACGAATCTGGTACCAATTTATCGAAGAATTGCCCAAATCGCGCACATCGGCGATCGCTTGCCTGAATCACCGGTGCCGCGGACTATGAATGTTGCTTTACTCTGGAAACAATACCGCTGCAGTACTGCTTACAAATCAAAGGCCTGAACGTGCCAAGGGAACTCTTAGAGCGCCATTCTTTACCATACAATCCCTCAAGCGATCCCACTGCGCAATTCAGGCGATTGGACCGCCAAGATTCCCATAGTGGTACCTACTGGAAACGCAACGTCGCTGGGATTCCAATACTCGGTAAAACGATGAATTCGATTGCAAACAATACTGTTCGCAATTTTAATTGCATTAAAATTCAGGGTCATAGCAAGCACCCCAGACATCAGGTCCCAGACAACAGCCTAAACATTGATACCTAAGTAGAGATACTATGGGACATTGCTTCCTCTTGATGTATGCGACTGTTGGCGCTCTCACTCCGGTCTAGAGTTAGTTTGCCGCATTGTTCCACAGCCATCCCCATTGGAGTACATTCCACAACTTTCCCCAGTGGTTAAAAATAGGCGGCGCTAGTCCTGCTGAAGGAAAAGTGGCGTTGAAAAGGCTCCTTTTACAGACCGGGAATTACCGAAAGCGCTTCTGCATTAGGAAAGCGGTTCACCCAAGCCGGAACCTCTTTCCTCAAAACTTTTCCCCTTCATTATAACAATCCCAATTTTGCACAAGGCGTCTTTGAAATGCCTCCTCCCTTTAGGCGATTGGCGCAGAAGTAACTGTGCAATGAAACTCTCGATTACTAACGTGGGTTCTCACCTTCGACCACCGTTTTGAGCGTTTCGGGATCGTCTCTCAGCGTTTTGAGCTCCAGCGATTTTACAGTCCACCAACGTTTTGAACGACTAGGAAAGAATAGGTATCGATTATTGCGGAAAACGCTGGCCGCAGGTGAAAGCGCCACATCTATACCCACACTTCCCCAGTCGCTCAAAACGCCTAAAACGTTAAAAACTCTCAAACACTGCCGCAAAGTATGTAAGCTTTCTCGGCCAACAGTTGCGTTCAACTTTGCGGCTGTGAGCCCTGACTCCTGGCCGTTACTTATTGATGCTGCACGTTATTAGAAACAATGACGCAACCCCAGGGAACACCTGCCAATTTCCCTTCTCGAAAGATAGTCTGAACTTGCACACTTTGCCCAATGAGACAAACTACTTGCAAATATCCAAAAGCCAACGAAAAACTCACAATGGCACGTCGTACCGCGGTCAGGAACATGGTGGAAGAATTGGCGAGTGGACAAAGTGAAGAAAAATGAAACGAATCGCCCGCAGCAGAGTGAAATGGGCGGAGCCCACCAATGAGAGCCGCGTTCTGGAATGTTCGTCCTTTAAATTCACAGTCGTCCGTTTGAGTTCACTTCTTGCATCATTCCCATTGACCACCGACTCTGTTTGAAAAATTTTTGTCTTTATACAGTCGTTTTCATATATCTTTCATTTTTGCCTTTTTCTACAATCTCCTCACCATTCTGGAAACTTGCATGGGCGCTTGTCGTACCGTTTGAAATATGCCCTGAGGTGGCTTTGTCCTAGTTTTATCCATGAAGAGCTGCCTCAGGGCACACATGAGTTCGAAGGAACCAGTTACAATTTACACAGTTCATTCGAAACAACTTAAATGTTCTTTCAATAGAAACGGACAGGAAAAGCTGTTACCTAGTCCTGGGGTAGCTCTAAAGTCCGTAGTGTATTCCCACCCTATATTTTATATTTTTGTGTAGGGAGTTGTGTGGAGGGGGTGGTCGTACTCACATCGGAGCTCTTCTCTTTTCCTAGTATTAGCCGACAATCCCCATGCCCTGGCGGGAATCGCTTCCAGCAGCGAATACCTCCGTTCACAAAATATAGAATATAGGGTGGGAATATACTGCGCACTTCTGTGGAGGGAAAGGAGGTTGGGGGAGGGTCGCGGTTGACAGATATCCTGAGGCTGTATAGTGCGCCCTGTTCTGGTAAATCTCTAGTTAATTGATTATTTTTTAAGGTCCCAAGAATGTTGCGCTTGGCCGGTGCTAGTGTTGCGCGCTCATTTGTCAGAAGCTATGCAAAAGACATCAAGTTTGGAGCAGAGGGCAGAAAAGCTATGCTCGTTGGTGTGGATTTGCTTGCCGACGCGGTCTCAGTAACTATGGGTCCCAAGGTGCGGTAGGCAACTGTACATCTCACCTGATCTGCTTCGTCAGACTCGTTTTCAAGTGCATGTTCAGGGCAGAAACGTGATCCTCGAGCAATCATGGGGAAGCCCAAAAATCACGAAGGATGGAGTCACTGTTGCAAAGGCTATTGACTTGAAGGATAAGTACCACAACATGGGAGCCAAACTCATTCAGGTAAAAAGCTTTCTTTACCACTGTTCGCAAAGATCGCATGTTCGTTGTATGGGTGTCAGTACCCACCAGATATTTCTGGTAAGGCTATACTATCTGAAATTGAGCACATGCGAGACTTCACGAAACACAGTTACGACTTGACCTTTTTGAGCTGTCTTCAAAACGTAAAAAGAGTCCGACGCGGAAGATCGTGATGGTTCTAAGAACGGATTACAGACTTCAAGATGTGCGCGCTGATCGCGCAGGTCAGCGCAGCGATAACGATAGTCTAAGACGCATCGCTTGTCTTCGAGCCCCATGCTCGGGTGGGCTGTGATCATATATTTTGTGGCGGAGTTTCAAGTGAACGTCAGCGCCAGCGACAAGGAAAGTATAGATATCGATCTAACGGATGCTGGCGTCCACCAGCGTCTGGGAGTGTGGAGTGTGGGGAAATAGGAGCGTAGCAGACAGCGTCATGAAGCAGCGGCGCGTGCAGTCGCTATTAATTCCTACCCTCCCTGGCAGAGGCAAGTTGCCAATAATTTGGGCCGGCGCCAGGTATTCGCTGCGGGACCCTACGTTGCTAGCTCCGCCCTGCCCCAATCAATGCGTTCTACATCTCGTTTTATCGCAAGCTGTGATCGGTGCCTAAACTGGATATACGATTGATAAACTTGAGATAAAAATCGGGCGCATTCGGCGCCGGCGAGGAGGGAAAAGTGGGGCAGGGGGGGGGGGCACAGTGCTCTTTTGCTGCTCCCATGGCCGAGGCCATCAGTGAAATATCGCTTGAATCCCTGTGAAGCCGCGAAATGACATCAGCCGAAGCTTGTAGAAACCAGGCATGAGTCTTGGAAGCGGAACTGGTGGAGTAGAGAAGTGCAAATGTCTTTCCCCAAACTGCGCCTGAAATTGCCCTCTCAAATGGGACTGGGGACAAGCAAGTCTGTCATCATACTGAGCACATTTGTAAATCTGTCTTTCTGAACGACATTGGCGCGGGGACACTGAGATATTGTCCTGTAGTTAATTTGCCACGAAAGGTCCCGAAACAAGCGAGCTGTCATGGCACACGAAATGACTGATCTGGCCGTTCCTTGGACAATCGGTACATGCAATAGTAAATACCCTTTTTCTAATAGAGGATAAAGCTTTTGCCATTGATCAACACTTTTTATAATGCGAGACGTATTGAACTTCCATTCGTAGTGGCTTTCTTTGATTATCGCCTTGATATGGCTTGCGATGGCATTCGATGTACGAGACATAGTTTGCGACTTCCCGATATTGGTATCAACTCTAGGGAGGGAGCACCTCGAACTGCAGTCGTGTAAGGCGAGGGTCTGAAAGGAGTTGAAGGCGAGGGTGTACAAGGATAATCCCTTTTTGGGATGCGGCGCATATCCTACTTCATTCATGTATTAGTGACTTATGAAAGGCACTCACCAAGACTTGCAGGAGCCACAATTATGTGCAACTTAGTTTTTTTATCCCTGGTGAAACTGGTTCGAATTACTGTTTCTCGAAGAAGAGGATCGGCCATTGAACGGACCAGGGATTGACGCCACAGACCATGGTAGGTGTCCACCTGCACACGTTATCCATTCGCAAATGAGCGAGGAAAAATGGGGGAACGGAGGAAGAACGACACGGCCATAAGGTCTTGTAAGTTAGTCTGTTGCTGCTTGCGTTCGACCGGAATCCATAACTTCTTTATATTTAGCCATAAACAGTTTAAGAATTCGTGGAACTGGCCCATTTGGTAATTTTACAGGATTTTGCAAAATGTCTCGGCACATTTGCAAAAGTTCGCAAAATCCCGTTCCACCCAGCGAGTGCCGCCTTTGGAAATATCGATTCAGTAATACTATGTCGTATTTTTTAATGCTGGTTACGTCAGTCGTAATTTGTGTTAAAAGCGATAATCGAGGACTGCACGCATCGATTGGGGCAGGGCGGAGCTAGCGACGTAGGGTCCCGCAACGAATACCTGGCGCCGGCCCAAATTGTTGGCAAATTGCCTCTGCCAGGGTGTAGGAATCAATAGCGCCGCAGTCGCACCGTACAACTGCTTAAGCACAGAATTATGCAATTTTGAAACACTGTGTGTGCATTGTAGTTGGCGCGGTTGCACACGCCGCGATTTCGACGCCTTCATTCTCTCCACTCTCGGACGCTGCTGTACGCTGGGAAACGCCGATGGACGCTGCCGCAAAGTATGATCAGCCTTATGCGGCGACGTGTCATGAGATGTCAGTGGGACACGTCGTCGTTTTACATGTCCTGGCACGTGACGCATTGCTATTAACCAGCGATAAGATCCGTATAGATGATCGCGGTATCGTAATACTACAGCGCCATTGTGTAAACCGACAGTGTAGAACGAACAGGCAGGAAATGTCCCTACTTCAGGACGTTGCTAACAAGACAAATGAAGAGGCTGGAGATGGAACAACTTGTGCTACTATTCTCGCTCGTTCTATCACTAAAGAAGGCTTCGATAACATTAGCAAAGGTGCGAATGCCGTAGAAATTCGACGTGGTGTAATGGCTGCTGTTGAACTAATCGTTAACGATCTGAAAAAGCAAAGCAAGCAGGTTAGTGGTAGAACCTCTTCTTTTTCCTGAACTAGTAAAGGTCTCATAAAAAAATTGTGAATTTTAAAGGTAACTACACCGGAAGAGATTGCCCAGGTTGCTACCATTTCGGCCAATGGCGACAGTAACATCGGTAGTCTCATCTCCGAAGCCATGAAGAAGGTTGCTTTTCACTGTTCCTTGGAGGGTATCTTAGTCTTAGTGTGCTTTATGAACTCGTTGTAGGTCGGAAGAAAAGGTGTGATTACTGTAAAGGACGGAAAAACCCTCAACGATGAACTCGAGCTGATTGAGGGCATGAAGTTTGACCGTGGTTACATTTCTCCCTATTTCATTAACACATCAAAAGGCGCTAAGGTTTGTGATTTTATCGTGTGTTCTACGGCAAATAATGTCGCTGAAAAAGAGGTATTTGTTAGGTCGAATACGAGAAGGCTTTGGTTCTGTTGAGCGAGAAGAAGATCAGCAACGTCCAAGATATTGTTCCTGCACTTGAACTTGCTAACAAAGTGAGAAACCCTCTGGTGGTCATCGCATAGACGTGGATGGCGAAGCACCAACCATTTTGGTGCTGAACCGTCTAAAGGTCAGTTATTTGCATACTTCAGAGACGTTATACCTGCAATCTACTATTTCTTTAGGTCGGACTCCAAGTGGTAGCTGTGAAAGCACCCGGATTCGGTGACAACAGGAAAAACACGCTGACGGATATGGCAATTGCGACCGGAGGAACTGTGTTTGGAGACGACTCAAACTTGGTTAAGCTTGAAGACATTCAGCTCAGCGATTTCGGAGAGGTACAGTTCAGGCAATTTCTCAAATATTTGGATGAATCAACTCCACATATTGACAGGTCGAAGAGGTGACTATCACTAAAGACGATACCCTATTGCTGCGTGGCAAAGGTGATTCAGCTCAGATTGACAAAGGATCGAGCAAATTGCAGATGATATCGAACAGTCCACTAGTGAATATGAAAAGATAAGTTTCATAAGACCAAATATGGACAACCCTTCAATAACCCGTGGCTTTCAGGAGAAACTTAATGAACGTCTCGCAAAGCTTTCTAAAGGTGTCGCCGTTTTGAAAGTAGGTGGTGCTTCTGAAGTAGAAGAAAGATCGCGTTACCGATGCTCTATGTGCTACCCGTGCCGCTTATGAAGAGGGAATCGTAGCAGGAGGAGGAGTCGCGCTTCTTCGAGCTCTTGAAGTTCTTGAAGGGTTCAAGGTGCGCTCTTCTCTGGTTTTTCGGAATTCTTAAATAGTTGAAATTTGTGCAAATCCGTATTGTAGGCTGCGAAAACCAGCAAATGGGTGTAAACATCATCAAAAAAGCAGTTCGTCAACCAATCAGCACTATTGTCAGGAATGCCGGATTGGAACCAGCTTCCACAGTTGAGAAGGTTTGTAGTAATGTGTCATCGTTGATTCATTCGTAAACATTTTATCTCAGATCCCTGAATGACAATACTGGTTACGGATACGACACACTCAATGACAAGTTTGTCGACATGTTTGACGCTGGTATCATCGATCCCACAAAGGTATGTGTAATGAAGTTCTGCTGTGTGCAGAAGTCTCTGAAGTGACGATCTCCCTTCAAAGTCCGGCTTTCCTATCAGCTAGTGCTGTTGTAGCTTCCGTGAGTTCCATTTCCCAGAAGTGAAAAGTGAAGAGTCCTTTCCAAATATCCTCTGTACGTGAACATCCAAAGTCACCTCATCTCGTTCAGGTTGTGCGAACGGCGTTGCAAGATGCCGCAGGTGTAGCTTCGTTACTTGCTACGACGGAATGTGTTGTTAATGAATTACCTAAAGAGGACCCAGTGCCAGGCATGGGTGGTGGCATGGGCGGTATGGGAGGAATGGGTGGAATGGGCGGAGGAGGAATGTTCTAAACACCGACCGCTAGGATTTATTTCTAATTTGCACTATTGATTCCACTTGTTACGTTATCCATCTTTCGCTCAATTGTTGCACGTTGTAAATTTAGTAGATAGTAGTTGTTATACTAGGCATAGTTAGTTTTTGTTACATGGTTTCTATCAGTTGTACGTTGTATTTGGAGTAACCATTGCATCTCAGAACGTTGTTGATTTCCATGTTCAATCATAGATTAAATAAATATTTTGCCATTCTATTCTCTTTGTTACGCCAAACTGCTGATTGAGTTGGGTCACCACTTAATGCAACCCCAGTCCGACGTGAGAGAGTTTGTGGCGAGGCCATGCGATTATGTTGTAGTCAGCTGTCTTCAAATGGTTTTTTCTTTTCCAGATCGCAATTCCATGCCGACCAGACGCAGAGGGTCAAACGTTTTTATTGATTACAATTTTCAAGTCTCATTTGTATGCCTAGTCCGTCCCTCAGCTATGCTTGATTAACGTAGCTACTTCCTCAGCATCCATGATCGACTTTCAATCCATCTTGGCATCGTGTGAGGTCCTTCTGACTAAATGTTAAAACCACAGCCAAGATGTTAACAACTTCGTTTGGCTGACCTTTCGGCCTTGTCGCCTTCGTCGGAGCCTTAGGAGAGCACGGCTTGCTCGAGTTTCGACCACCATGTTTGTCCGAAACGTCAGCCAAATAAAGTTGTTATCATCTTGGCTGTGGTTTGAACATCTAATAGAAGTAGCTTCCCTTTAAAAGCAGAAACTCCGATTTTCTTGTGAGAATAGGAGCGAAGATTCTACGATTGCTGCCTTTCAACGCTGCAGTTCGCGCTTCAGGGTTTACCACAAGATCGCTGAGCTACGGGCAAAGTACATATCTGCCAGCACTACAATCTGCACTTGAAGAAACCCGACGAACAAGAGAAAACAAAAAAAAAATCATGGAGAAGACGGTGAGTAGGGCTTATCGGCCTCGCCTCTCTGGAATAATTTTTCGAGCCTGCTCGTTTTATCTCAGCAAAAGCGATATTCTGCCGCCTCTAGCCTCAGTAATCAATTCTTCGCGTCATCCGATGATAGATACTATCTGATAGTGGAAAAAAAATCGAAAAGGACAGCGTGATAACTGAAATCGAGCAGAAGTTGCCCTTGGCTTTCGGTGGGCGAAACAACTAGGAAGGCGTCAGAAATGCCACTTCTCAGGGCCATATTGCCTTCGTTACTTACTGAGAAGCCGCGAAAGTGTGATTCTGAGACGGGGACAGACTACATATACAAGGAAGGACGCCTACAGTTTGAGGGCCGTTGCAGCAGTACGTCGGTCACGTAGAGATAATAGACAGTAGAACAGGAAAATCGACTGAGTCCCTCCATCTGACTGACTTCCTCGGCGCGAATTCTCTGTTCTCCAATTATCTTATTCTTCAGTGTCGCAAATAGCCGACAGTCTGCTGCAACAGCGACCCAATGGCAATTGTTTGACTCGGTTTACGCTGTGTGTTCGCAAGACCAGTCCGGAAGCATAAACTCTTGGACGGTTACTGTGCCAATTTAGCACGCTCAAATGATACGCGTAGAATGCAAGTTCGAGTATTTCATGAGGTAGCACGCCCATTGCTCATTTGATGCACAGACGCTTTCTTTAGACATGGTAAGTCCGGGTACGGAGGGTATACTACTTCCACTGCTCAAAAGTGCGTGATGTTAGCGCGACTTTCTCGCGTGGAGGCAGGACCCCGCCCACTGGCCATGGCGACGCCCAACTTTCACTTTTAACTGCTTTTTGATGGTGCGGTTGTTTCTTTATCGCTTTCTCCACTTTGAATTGTAAGAGTGGGGTGATATAGACAAAAGGCTGTCACCAGCAAATGAAACCCGTCCGACCACGCCCTTTCCTCGCCTTATGCATGTACAAACCCGGCCCATCATAGGGCTCTGAATGGGGCGTTTTGGCACGTTTTTTCGTTTTTTCTTCCCCTTTTTACATATCTCCAGTCATTGGTACTGGAGCCGCAGCTATCATTTTTGAGTCCCGGGCCCCGCACAGTAGCCAATGACGCGTACTCCTGGTTCACGCGTTCTTCGCGATCGGACTTCCTACTATGTACTATGATTTCTACTACTGGATACTTATACTACCATTAACGCGCGTTCTCCAGCTCGCTGGCAACTTTCGCGGAGTATGAACACCTCGTCGTGTTTCCCATTTGACCGCAGAGGTCTGCTATGGTGGAATTTTGCACAATTCGACTTTTAATTCGAAAAAGGTCCAGCTGTACGGCTCCCCTATTAACTATCGGCCGACTTCCTCCCTCACACCGTTCAAGATAATAGATAGCATGTCCCATGTGATGATTTATTAGATCGAATGAAGTATGTGTCATTTTTTAAGTGTCGATTCTTCCATTGTTAAAAGGGATTGGTAAATTTAATCATTCTCTTTAAACAACGACATGAATACGGTAAGCACTTGTAAACTAGATACTGACAAACATATCCGAGAACCAAACTAAATTCTAGGATTGTCCTCCTTCCTAGATCATAAGGCCACGGTTCACCGTCAGAATAAATAGGACCCTGAGCAATTTCCGGGCAACATAACCAGTGAATTATATTTTGCTGTAGATAATCTAGCAGCACATGTTTCAAGCATTCTGCGATGGTAGAAGGCAGAACAAATAGTATTTGCTGACTGATGACTTAGGTGTCCTGTATACGAGTAAAACTATTGAGCAAATTAAGGAGGGGTATGAAACACTGCAGTAGAGCATGACTTGAGTACTAGGACAACAAGAAATGTACATACAAAATCACAAAAGAATCTCTTACTATCTCCTATATCGGAGAATTTCTGGCCTAGAATGAGGTATAGACGGTTTTCCGTGAATCTTCTCTGCTCTCTTCAAAAACGCTCCAACCATGGCTTTGACAACTGGAAATGCAAATAAAACCTTTAGTACACACTAAACAGATTTAGTTTCGGAATAGATATACGTCGAATACGAAAGAGAGAAAGAGTGAAAGAGTGTAAGTGGTTGGTAATGTCTGAGCGCTCACGTATTAAATGCAGTTGGCATAAAGAGTAGGGTTGATACGCCTGGCAGGTTAGAATTCCGCAACGCTGAGCAGGCGCTGCGTAACGCCTTTTCCGAGGAACGTAACCTTGTAAGAGCCCTATCAGGCTACTACATACCGACCCGAACGCCCACCACGCCCGCCCGCCCACAAATGGACGACCGTACCTGATGCTCGTATTGCTTCATTTGCTAAGTAAAATATGAAGCGAAGGGATTGATATGAAGCGGCTGCGATGCTGCATGGATATATGAGCACACCCTAGTTCGCTGCGGAAGATCAGGCGTGTCAGTTATGAGTGTGTCACCCCGTCAAAGCCGTTCTCTGCTTTCTTGTTGGAAC